CAATGATCCCAGGAGCTAAGTTGCCTGAGGCTTTATGCCCCTGCTAGGGTCACCCAAGGCAAACAGGTCCTGGGTGAGGAACCAGACGAAGTGCGGCTCACAAGACCCCTCATGATGAATAAAATAGTGGAATCACGGTTTCCCTTGCCCGGACGCGGGTCACCGGGCCCCCCCCCCTGGAGCCAGGCCTGGGGGTGGGGCTCGATGGCGAGCGCCTGGTGGCCAGGACTGTACTCATGGGGCCTGGTCGGGCACAGCCCAAACAAGGCACGTGGGTCCCCCTTCCAATGGGCTCACCACCTACTGTATAGGAGGGGCCATAGGGGTCGGGTGCAGTGTCAGTTGGGCAGTGGCCGAAGGCGGGGACCTTGGCAGTCCGATCCTCAGCTGCAGAAGCTAGCTCTAGGGACATGGAATGTCACCTCTCTGGTGGGGAAGGAGCCTGAGCTGGTGCGCGAGGTTGTGAAGTTCCAGCTAGACATAGTCGGGCTCACCTCGACGCACGGCTTGGGCTCTGGAACCAGTCTTCTGCCCCGGCCGTGGAACAGTGGACCAGCTCTACACTCTCCGGAGGGTTCTGGAGGGTTCAAGGGAGTTTGCCCAACCAGTCTACATGTGTTTTGTGGACTTGGAGAAGGCATTCGACCGTGTCCCTCGGGGAGTCCTGTGGGGGGTGCTCCGGGAGTATGGGGTGCCGGGCTTCCTTTTAAGGGCTGTTCGGTCCCTGTATGACTGGTGCCAGAGCTTGGTCCGCATGGGCGGCAATAAGTCGGACTTGTTTCCGGTGAGGGTTGGACTCCGTCAGGGCTACCCTTTGTTACCGATTCTGTTCATAACTTTTATGGACAGAATTTCTAGGTGCAGCCAGGGCGTTGAGGGTGTCCGGTTTGGTGACCTTAGGATTAGGTCTCTGCTTTTTGCAGATGATGTGATTCTGTTGGCTTCATCAGACCGTGACCTTCGGCTCTCACTGGGACAGTTCGCAGCCGAGTGTGAAGCGGCTGGGATGAGAATCAGCACCTCCAAATCCGAGACCATGGTCCTCAGCCGGAAAAGGGTGGAATGCTTTCTCCGGGTTGGGGATGGGGTCCTCCCCTAAGTGGAGGAGTTTAAGTACCTCGGGGTCTTGTTCACGAGTGGGAGGACGATGGAGTGGGAGATCGACATGCGGATCGGTGCGGCGTCCGCAGTGATGTGGGCGCTGCATCGGTCTGTCATGGTAAAGAAGGAGCTGAGCCAAAAGGCGAAGCTCTCGATTTACCAGTCGATCTACGTTCCTACCCTCACCTATGGTCATGAGCTGTGGGTAGTGACCGAAAGAATGAGATCGCGAGTGCAAGCGGCCGAAATGAGTTTCCTACGCAGGGTGGCTGGGCTCTCCCTTAGAGATAGGGTGAGGAGCTCGGCCATTCGGGAGGGACTCAGAGTAGGGCCGCTGCTTCTCCGCATTGAGAGGAGTCAGATGAGGTGGCTCGGGCATCTGATTAGGATTGATTGATTGATTGATTGATTCCCTTTATTGCTGTTGCAATTCACCATGTCACTAGTCACAAGTACCAGCGAAAAGCAGGCCATCAACCCGACCATACATACACAAACATTATAGGGGGGCAGACAGGTCAGGAAGACAGGGGACTGTAGGAAAAACTCAGAGAAACAGATTACGTGAGGAGAGTGGAGGTGAATAAAAAAAACAGCCCCCAGACTGTACTCCAGTAGGAAGTACAATATAGGAACAGAAAAAAACACCTCAGCAATAAGCACATAGTCACCACATCTCACAACAGGGGAGGGGAATGGGGAGGTGGAGGTAGTCCAGCATAGACAAACAGCCGTCCATTCCTGCAGCCAATCCGCGCTGTACAAGGACCCGCTCCCTGGTGAGGTGTTCCGGGCATGTCCCACTGGGAGGAGGCCCCGGGGAAGACCCAGGACACGCTGGAGGGACTATGTCTCTCGGCTGGCCTGGGAACGCCTCGGGATTCCCCCAGAGGAGCTGGATGAAGTGGCCGGGGAGAGGGAAGTCTGGGTTTCCCTGCTGAGACTGCTGCCCCCGCGACCCGACCTCGGATAAGCGGGAGAAGATGGATGGATGGATGGATGGATGGTCTTGGTATGCAGAAGCAATAAGACTTCTCTTCACTGGAACTAAGGGGCCTAACCCAACCCCTAAAAAACAACCCCATATCATTTTACCTCCTCCACCGAACTTCACAGTTGGCACAATGCAGTCAGGCAGATAACATTCTCTTGGCACCCGCCAAACCCAGACTCATCCATCAAAGTACTAGACAGAGAAGTGTGATTTGTCACTCCACAGAACACGTTTCCACTGCTCCAGAGTCCAGTGGTGGCGTGCCTTACACCACTACTTTTGCCCATGTAATTTATATATAAAATCATTTATTTTGCAAACACCACTTGTTACAAAACAAGCATTTACAAGCATCGATACAATGCATATTAATTCACTGCATTAAATCATCGCATATTCAAGTTTAAATTTATATAAGCCACCATAAAACCTCTAACCAAACAGCTGGAGGGAAGATACATCAAAAGTCAACAGTCCCTGGCATCATGGGGTGTTTAGTGCTTTTCACCAAAATCTTAAAAATGGTACTTGTACAACAAACGTGTATGTTGGTGATCTACTGCCTGCCTTGCTTGGAAATTATTCTGGAATAAAGGTTATGCTAAATAAATGTAAATGTTACTATTTTCAGACAGGGTACAAATTATCCATAGCACAGCAATATTTATATGTTGGTAAGGGTGAGAAGGAGCAGGTAAGATGACACCTCTATGTTTCCGTCATAAGGAATTAAAGGTTCAGGTATCAATCAGGAAAAAAAAGAGATTGAGTTATCAAATGGTTATCTGATCCCCCACATTCTGCCTGAGCTGAGATAAGAGCAGCAAACCAAAACAGGGCACGAGCCTGAAAAGTGCACATAAAGTACATTTTTTGAGTGTACATAAAATACAAAAGAAAGTTGTGCGTTATATTTGTAAGTTGCTAGATTTCTGCTTGAGGTTGCAGTGACTCCTTAGTTGGCAGACTAAGGCTAAATCTTAAAATATAACAATCAACCCATTTCAAATGTGCAAACATTTTCATTATCTCCCCAGTTGTTTGTCACTTTAGACCTCATACTCTATATGTTTGATGATCCTCTCTGATCATGATGCCATGACATATCCTTTCGATTACAGGCATGTTTTGGATGCAGCAATGCACAGCAAAGTGCTTCATAAGGCGTTATTTTGCAGAGGCAACAGGTCACAATAAAAGGCTCCTGTGCTATATCTATACATTCACAATTCCGATACTTCTGTTGTTCTCATTCACACCTCTTTTTTGCATTGAGTTCTGACATTAACAGTTTGGCTTTAAAGGTTTTTACGGCTTAGTGTGGTATGCTTAGTGTGCGAACAAAAATTGTCACCTTATTGTTTTTTGTGATCAAACTGATTGGTAACAAAGATAATACCATATGCTCATGGTATTGTTATAGATTTAGTTTTTAAAACGGATTCTTCATGTGCGTTTTGTTATCAAGAAAATCCACAACTGGTTTTGAAATACAACGCATGTTACAATTAGTGCAAGGAGAAAAAATACTACCAAATACGGCTCCGGCAAGTAATCTACTTGGCCCACTTTAGTTTTAATCTATAATAGACTCAATAACATTGAAAAAGCAAAGGACACTGAAACAGCCATAATTTTTTTAGAAACATTTATTCAACTCAAGAACATATTTAAAGTACAATCAGTGATCTGAAATTCAGCAACAAAACAAAAAGGGCAACCGATGTCAATTTTTAGGGCTCACAAGCAGACAGCGACTGGTTATTTGTGCTTTCTTGGCTTCTTCGGGTTTTCTTGGGGTTTCTCTCGCGCTTCTCCCTGCGACTCTGCCAACACAGGCTGCCAGGCCAAAGGGTTTCTCCGGTACACAGGCCAGGGGGGCAAAGTGAGCTAGAACCAATCATATTTTATTTATTATTATTATTATTATTTATTATTATTATTATTATTATAGAAAAATAATAAACTTTATACGACCTGCCTACATCGCACAACGTATTACATGTCTGTTAGATGCACAATCTACGCAAAATCACTCACCAAACAAGAAATGGCGAAACCACCCAGTACAATATAAACCGTCCAGCCGAACTGTTCAATGATCAGGCCATATATAAAACCGATTACCTGAAACCAAATAAAATGTCAAGAGATTGCCTAACAGGCATAATTATTATACTTGAATGAAAAAAGAACGAAAAAACTTACTGCAGACACCAGTATGATTCCTTGAAAAATCTGTTCCGCTAACTTTTGTCCTTTATAATCCTAAAAGAAAAGCTGGTCGGTTTAACTGAACACACAGCAAGTATGAAAAATAGGCCAGCACAAAATCGGAAGCTGTTGCAAAGCATGGCAAATCTGCAAAGACAGACAACACTGCATGCCATCGATAATATCCCAGCTTGCCTAAATAAAGACAGAAGTATAAACTAAGCAAAACAACACATATTGAATGTATGCATGAAACATTTGCAAACATGTTATGGCCGCTAACAGGCTGGCTATAGGGCGCATAGGTATATTTCAACTTACTGACGCCTATTGTATTGTACATACAAGACTCACCATGTGCGTCGGAATTGAACTGAAGATTGACTGCATCTTAACAAATCTAAGGAAACAGAAAAACAAGTCACTCGTTTATATAAGGTATTTAACGTGAGATCAAGCGGACGAATCTTCCGGACGAATAAGAAGACGTAGCTAAACCGTACTGGCCCCGGTCACTGACGTAATATGAAAAGGCCCCGTTTGTAGTCTTTTTAATGTGGTGAAATTAATAGGAAAAACATATAGGAAATGTATAGAGAAACAAATGTAACACAAACACTAAATAATATTTATGTTATTATTACGCAACTGAAAGTATGTTATACATTTTGGATTTTTATATTGTTAAAAAACAGGCAGATTTTAAGACACCTGTTTTAACTGCACTGTTAACTTGCTGCAAGAAGCTGTGTATGTCGAGTTGGCGTTTTGGCTTAGTAGTGAAGTTATCGGGAGTATTATGAGTAAGTGAGTGTTTTTGACCGTTTTTTTAAATAATATGACATTCTGAAAAATTAAAATATAGAGCCTTCTTCTAAATGCACGTGGCTGTTTTTCAGCTTATGCTACGTAAAATTGCCTGCGGATGGTGTCGAGCTGTTCTTTATAGACTGTGATAAATTATGCATTAATTCCAAACTTCGTGAAATTAATTTGAAGTAATTTTTTTATTTGTTTTGAATAGTAGTTTGTCTCTTGCAATAATTCTTTTGAGTTAGTGTCGTATGTGTGGTTTTATGTTACAGGTTTATTTCTCAAATGCAGCGAGATGTCAGCGCGAAGAGGTCAGTCTGCTTTAAAAACTGTTTTTTTAAACTGACACTGGTCATATTTGTTCTGAAATCGTGCATGGTATTGCTTTGTTTTGTAAGATCGACCCCTGTCATTTGCGCATATATTATATTGTATTTTTTTTTCCTGCAGTAAACGCAATCATCGTGTTGCTGATCGGAATAGTATTTCTAATTGTTGTGCATCGGAATCTACTAAATCTGAATGACTTTGCAAGAACTGATGTCTCGGGTAACTCTTTTGCAATATGAATGATTAAATGCATGCAATACGGACAGTACATCTTCAGAAACGCCTAATAAAATTATTTTGTCACCAAGACACAGTGCATGATGTGTTACCACATCTGAAGCTGCCGCAGAAAGCTGCACGGAGCGGGGATGAAGTGCCAGTGCTTATTACGGCTGTCGAAGACAGACTTGGTGCTTTGGTGGCTGCTATGAACAGTGTGTACCACAACAGTCAAGCAAATGTCGTTTTCTACATTGTAACAACAAATGACACCGTGGATCACTTAAAGTAAGTGGGAGTTATTAATCAGTTTTTAAAACAAAAAAACCTTTTCTGTTTTATGGCAGTATATATTTTTTCGTTTGCAGAACCTGGATAAGCCAAACCAGCCTGAATGAAATCAAGTACAGAATTATCCCATTTGAACCACATATTCTACACGGGAAAATTTCCAGTGATCCAAATAAAGTCGAGGCAGTGAAGCCAGTAAGAACGAATCCTGTAGTCTACTGAAGAAAAAAAACGTCAATTTTTTTATATTTAACATCTTTCGTTATATTGCAGTTGACCTTTGCGCGTTTTTATGCGGCGACGTTCTTGCCTCATGCAGAAAAAGCGATCTATTTGGACGACGATGTCATTGTACAAGGTACTAGTATGCAAGAGTATAAGAGGAATGTGAACATTTGTATTTAATACATGAGCATGTATTTAGCACTGTAATTAAAGCTTGGGGTTCCAGACAGTGTAAGGTTTTATAATTATGAAGAGCTGGATGATTCTGCTGGGCCAGTTCAGGATGCCATGCAAAGGAATACTCAAACCTCCACCTTCAAGTATTAATACAAGGAATGTAACACTGTAACTTCACAAGCACTTTTGTGTAAAATTTCTCCCATGGATTATTTATTCTGTTGAAACTAATAGTGCTTGGCATTGAACACTCTGCTTCAGGTGACATCCAGGAGCTGTTTGACACTAATCTCAGGGCAGGACATGCAGCTGCATTCTCAGATGACTGCGATTCCGCTTCTTCTAAAGGAATTGTTCGTGGGGCAGGGACCCAGGTAAATTGCCCTACTTTACTTAAGAATCATTCATATTCATACCTTTTTAGCCACTGTAGTTTTGGTATTTAATAGTAAGATTTTATGAAAACTACTGCATTATTAGCTAGATAATTTTCTCATGAATGACTCGCGTTAGTTAAACCACCTACATTTTTAATTAAAATTGATTTGATATTTTTCCCCCCATATATCGAGTGGATTCAAGACTCAGCATGTTTTATTGGCAGAAAGTGCATTGAAATACTCACTTGTTCAGCCAGACCCAGTGCAAGGAACAGTACATGATAAATTGGTAAACAGGCATGCTATAATGCCATGACAGTGAGTAACATAAATGACACATTTCTATTCACACAAAGTACAGAAATACTGCAGTCATCCAGCAGAGCTATTCATGATGCCACAGGTAGTGGAAACAAACTGAATCTGATTATCAGCATTCTGATGTTGCATACAGGAGTTTATGGGTGAGAAGAGTTTGTAGCCTTTGGTAGTTCTGATTTCTCCCCTTCCACATAGATCAACTACATTGGCTTCCTGGACTTCAAGAAGGACACAATCAGAAAGCTTGGGATGCGGGCCAACACATGCTCGTTCAATCCCGGAGTCTTTGTTGCCAACCTCACAGAGTGGAGGCTGCAGAACATCACAGGCCAGCTGGAAATGTGGATGAAAAGGAATGTGGAGTGAGTGAATGTTGCCCTACTGGTGTTTGGTCCCCTTGTCATAGTCATCTTAAGTGAACTGGTTCTGATGAAGTTCTTAGATGAAGAGGCAACAGATCTGCAAGACGGGAGATCTGAAATATAAGTGTTTATGAAGTATATTTTTCATTCCCGGAAGTGTGTTGTTGCTTGTTTTGTACCATTTGCAGAGAGGACCTCTACAGCAGGACTCTGGCAGACAGTGTGACCACACCCCCCTTGCTGATTGTCTTTTACAAACGCCACTCCAGTATTGACCCCATGTGGCACGTTCGACACCTTGGTATATCCCTAATCTCGACAGATTAGTCTTCTAATAGCATAGCCAGTTGTCATTCAGTCAATCTGTCCTTCATCACACTTGTTTACCTACCAATCTGGTTGTCTTCTCAGGATCTACTGGTGCTGCAAATCGCTATTCTTCCCAGTTTCTGAAAGCAGCCAAGCTCTTGCACTGGAATGGACACTATAAGCCATGGGGGAGAGCATCTTTCACCGACATCTGGGACAAGTGGTATGTGCCAGATCCAACAGGCAAATTTCACCCCGTTCGAAGGCATGTGGAGGATAAGTAAATCAGCCGCACCTATTTGGACCAAGCCTGCGTATCTGTCTTCTCCTAGTACTGTTTTGATGTCTCAGGAAAACGTACGTAAGAAACCTTTGGAACATTCTTGTGCAGGATGACCACGATGTCCACTATATACCTGGTATAGGTTTTAGTATTAAGAGCAACAAACAAGCACAAGTGTGAGAAGTTTCCACTGTGGTTTGCGAAGATTTCAGCCTCTGTCATTCCTTACACCCCTGTAATATTTCTCTGGCATATCAAGATGTCACTTTTGTTTAATGACTTTTTCGTTCAGCTACACCTCACACTTTCTTCTGCACATATTTACTGCACATAAGATTCTCAGCACACTAACTCACTGTTCTTAAGGGTTTCATATCATGTTTTGGTAGCTGCTGCTGAGTTTGTTCTGCTAAGATGCCAGGATTTTTTTACCACTTGGGCAGTTTCCCCGATAGTGTTGTGGACTTTCAGGGAAATATTCTGTTTGATACTTTGAGTATTACTGTATGTATGGACAAAATGCAGCAAGTACCCATGATATTGGCAATATTATTAAAGTTTTTTAATCAAACTCTCGAAGTCTGTGGCAGGTCCTTACAATGTTGATGTGCATACTGGTTTTAGTTGGGATAATTTTAACATCCATCCATTGTCCAACCCGCTTATCCTACTGGGTCGCGGGGAACCGGAGCCTATCCCGGAAGCAATGGGCATGAGGCAGGGAACAACCCTGGATGGGGGGCCAGCCCATTGCAGGGCACACTCACACACCATTCACTCACACATGCACACCTAAGGGCAATTTAGCAACTCCAATTAGCCTCAGCATGTCTTTGGACTGTGGGGGGAAACCGGAGTACCCAGAGGAAACCCCACGACGACATGGGGAGAACATGCAAACTCCACACACGTGTGACCCAAGCAGAGACTCGAACCCAGGTCCCAGAGGTGTGAGGCAACAGTGCTAACCAATGCACCACCATGCCGCCCCTAATTTTAACATCTTTAGTGAAAAACCTTAGAGAAGTAGCTCCATGTCCTCATGCAGTCTTGTTTCTTGGAGTTTCTTCAGGGACATCAAGTACCAGTGTAAGCTGAAAGTAAGAGATGCCAGCCTACTTTGCCTTAAGGGAATCTGCATTTGAAGTAGAAAGTTTGAAATCTTTTTGCATGAAATTCTTTTTATACAGACAAACATGTTTGGGCTGTCTCATGTCTTAGTACATGCTCAGCATGTTTGTACAGAAATCTTTTTAACTAACCCTTTTTGCAGTCATCAAACCTTTGCTTAAGACTGAAAATCCATTGATTGGCTAAAGTGGTTTCTCATGTTGTTCCTGATTAAAAAAAAATGCAATTTCATGTTTTAAAATAAACAAATCCCCCTCCAACATCAGCAAATGAAGAGCTATAGGCACATTACTTTGGACTGTTTCCCAAACACTGCGGTATCCTAAATTTAATGCAAACTTAGTCTGGCACTTCATTGAGATCAGAGTTGGATTAGAGTCTTCACTGGAATTCAAGACTTGTCATTTCCTCATTTCTCAGTCAGTACACAGACTCCCCACAGCATCCCACTGCTCAAGGGAGGACACCATCTTACCATTCCAGCAAGGTTTCAACTGCTTAGGTTTGATGTGCTCTTGGACAATCCCATGGCTCCAGGCTGATCAAATAAAAAAAAAAAGCTTATATAAACAGAAAACATACATTGCATAAAATTAAATTGCATCAGCAGCTTCCTGAATTACTTTAAAAAAAAAATCACTGTAACGTTTAAAATACAGAATGATATTTTCCACATGGACATATTTAGCGTAGACTACTCAACTTCTGCTTAAAGGACTTGCTGAATACAAACACGCGTATATCGCCACTAGTTGCGGCAAAACGCCATGCAGAGAATGCAGCAAGCGGGAGCTCAAAGGTCTACAGTATTACATCCAATAACTGCAACTCTGTGTAAGTGTTAAAAGAAGTTCGGAATTAGATGAAGATATTATCGTAGTACAAAGACAGACAATTAAGACCACAGTTTTGTCCAAAGCGACGTAAAAAACGAGGCAGATAGTCTTCGGGGTGTCTGAAGACTATCTGATCACACCACATTGGTAATATCTTACCAGAATAGCACACCTTCTAATTAAATTGCTTTTTAGTTAACAAAAATCCTAATTTGCTGTAACAGACGACAAGCTAGCATACACCAAACTATAGGATCATGCCCGCCTGCTTAAGAGATCGTGTCAAGTCATTTATCTAATCAAACAATTTATTTAAATATTTTAATTAAATACCCATGACCCAACCTACAATCAGCTAGAATATATATCCATAGATCCTTTATTTATAATTAATTATAATTCATTGGTATAACCGGTTAAGATGTTTACAGTACTTTCTTAGACACAATGCACTTAAAATGGACCACATCACAAACATCTATTATCGTGTACAAATTATTAACCTCACTAAGTTGTTCTCAGTAAGATCACCTTTTTTCTGGACATTTCATGCTGAGTTAGGATTGACAGCTTCCACGTCCAGCACTCCCTCGGTAAGCGACAGGCAGCGTCAACAGTCTCACATGCGTCATTGATCTGGAACATTTTAGCCAATAGAGGAGAAGAACTTCCGCTAGTGTGCCCGCCCTCTTTTCGGAATTAGCATGGGAGTTCCGGTTCCGCCCCAGCATAGAAATGGTTAATTTTTAGAAATAAGTTTTTGGCAGTGATTCATTTTTGAACCCATCAAATCATTCTAAGTTTATATCGAGACTTAAGTGGATAGCAGGTAAGAGTGGGGAATGAATGGGGCGGCCTGTTCTGGTTGAAATGCTAATGAGTAGCACTGATTCGGCGGAACGATGTTTAGGATCTCATGCAAATTGCATCCTCTTTGTTGTTTGTCATTCATTTGGCGATGGATTTTTAACTTTCCCGAGATTATTTAAACTATCAGTGCAGTTATTTTTAGCAAATTTGTCGATAAACGGTTCGCCAGCCTCATTGACAGCTGACAGTTTTATCGCCGTTTCTAGTCTGCTTTCGTCACCGATTTTTTGACAGTTAACATTGGTTTTCAGGTATGTTTATTGTTGGTTTAATGTCCATTACGACAATATTCCAATAGTATGTTGCTGACGTCCATAGTCCAGTCTTATATGGAGATATACAGAGAAACACAGGAATGTATTTAGGTACCAAAGAGGATTTCTATGGTTTTCTATGTACCTCTGTCAAATAGCAGCTCGATGGCGGGTAACCTTTGTCTGAAGCTCAGCTTGGGACAATTTATGAAGTATTGAGTGGGATTCCAAGCAATTTTAAGATTGATGGATGCTTGGATGGAGTAGGGTCTGGTTGTCTGTTAGTTCTCAATTTTGTATGCTATTCGGTTTCATTGATGTATGCGTTATAGATACGTGTGTGGCTAGACCAGTATAACAGGTTAGGATTTGGATTGAAAACCTCAGCATATAGTCACACTTCACATTGTTTAGCGTCTGCGTTAAAATCATTGCAGATTCTGACTTAATACTCGATATCCGCTTAAAGGTGCCATTCCTATGGGCTCCAAGAGGAGGAGGGCGACTTCCCCCTCCAGTAGTGTGAGTGGGGGGGACTTTGATGATGGACAGACGTCCTCCTCAACACCAGGAAGCCACCGGAAAAAGCGGAGAGCTTCCAGCATCCCTACTGTAGATCCAGTAAGTGCAATTCCAAGTCATGTTCAGCTCTTATGTGGAAACCGCGAGAGCAGCAACTAGAACGAGGTGTGGAGGTGTGTCTTGTTCATTGATTTAAAATAGAAAGTAGAAAAATTTCGTTTTCTCATATGGGCCAGAATGGTTACCAGGATGAGAAGATACGGGATGATACCTTAAATTTTCTTTGACAAGCAGCAAAATCAGTCCACCCTTTATATTAGACTTGAGTCTCCTTCAGCCCTCCTGTTGGTCTCCTGTGTCAGTCTTATTTCCACTTGGGTTAATGATTTCTAATACACTTACACTTTGATTACACTTGTGGAGGACCCATATTTATCTTTGATTACCCTTTTGGTATATTTTGTTTAATATGCAGATAATTTCCCACGTTTTCAAAAACATTTTCAGAAAAATGACCCTTATTTTAATTCCAGCTGAAGACTGGCTTTTATATGCTCTCAATTTCAGCAATATTTGAGCAATCTTATTATTAACTAGGGTGCATGTGTGTGTGTGTGTGTGTGTGTGTGTATGCATATGTATGTATGTATAACATTAAATCACTCAATTAAATCTATAACTCAGAAATATCTCTGTTGCAAATTATCAAATTAAGGAGTTATTGAGCTCTGAAGTGTCAAAATGTGATTCAGTGTAGCTGTCCTGATTAAAATTGTTTTTAAAATGTAAAGATTCTTACTAGAAATATAAATGAATACCCATAGCATAATTGTGTCAGTAATTGCAACAATATATAGCGGCCCTGGGGACCAAATTGTTTGTCCCTTATAATCGAAATTCCGTTATAAGCGAGTCCACTATCACGGGATTTTACTGTAGAACAAAAAAACAACAAATGCAATGGTCAAACAAATTAAAACACAATCGAAGTTTGAAAAAAAAAAAAAAAAAGGCCCATGACTGCAGCACCTCTCCATGTTTTCATCATGTGAATATGAAACTCCTAGTTGACAGACTGAACCAAAGTGGGCTCCTGAAAACCTCAAGCATTTCTGAGTTACTGACTTCCACTGTCTGTGATCTCAAGAACAAGAAATGCATGTGTTCCATCCAGCAATATAGAAAAAGAATTTTTACCTTCTGAGCAGAGTGCCATTGCTTATGGGTCTGAGAGAGGTCACATGGAATTTTTCAGAAATCCCATGGAAATGGTGCACCTTATGGGATGGTGGGTCCATGAAATGTTGTGCAGATGAGTTTGTGAAAAAGGGAGTTGACCTCCAGAGCCCAAAAGAGCTGTACACCACAGACAAAACACGGTCAAGCATAAAATACTTCTGGATTGCTGAGGATGAGATTAACCAATTTGATGAAGCAGTTCCAAATGACTTTCCAGCTGTAAAAGGAACCTTAAAAATCTCCCAGATCATCTCAAAGGAACCTGGAAAAATCAACCATCAAGAAGAACCCTGCTTCTCTACCGAGCCCGCATTTCCTGCGAGTGCGATGCTCCAACAGAGGAGTTTCAGAACCAAACATGCAGGTGCAGCAACAGAAGAATGTCCATGTCAGTGAAACCACTTAAAAGGAAAATTCACAACTGTCAATTACGATAATGAATACTGATTTAATATTATGTGGATGAAATTGTACCTCGCGTGTCAGTTTATCCATGTTCCACAATAAAGCCCAGGTTTTTTATGTGTGTATATGAGTCATTTCTTCAGGAAGTCTGCACAATTCAAATATCTTGTGTTTTGTTTTTTTTTCTTTACATAGTTTTATGCCTTAAAACACCTAAGAGAAATTTAAATTTAATTGCTAATTGATATTTTCTAGGCTGAAGTGATGCGTGTTATTCAGGGCAACAGTATCTGTCATTAAGTATGACACCAGTATTTCATATTAAAAACACATCTCAAGGGAAGAAGTGAAAGATTTTCATAGATTTTTGTATTTTTTCCAGTGTTTGGCAGAAACATTTTGTTAAAGATCTTTGACAGATTTTGAGATGTACTGGTGATACATTAAATATGATGCATTTAAAATAAAATTGTCATTTTTTTCTTGGTAGTTCTATTTCTCCCAGTCGGAGCATGGATATATAACAATGTTTTTAAGAAAAAAATGGGCATAAAATATTTTTTTGGGGGGAAAAAAAAATTACACTGAATTACATTTTACTGAGGTACCTTCATAAATCACAATAAATATGAATTATTGGCTTTATTCTTGAATAAGGGAATTGTAATTGTGTTTTTTTATTTTTGCTACTTTGTCAACCTTATACATCTTACCCTATATAGACCCCATATAAACACATGACTGAAGAGTTGCATTGTACTAACTAAGTTTAAGACTGAAAGACAGCTCTTTGCGGCCACCTATGCTGTATATAAATTGTAATACACTTCCTTGTGCATGAAACCTGAAAGCTCTGTTTTATGCTGATGGTTTCAGCAGAATCCCTGCTTCATGTCTGTTTCAGTCATTTTTTCCTGCTGTATCCTCATGCTTGCTGTGATTGAAAAAGGAGCAAAAGCCGCAGAAAACAAAAATACTCTCATGGGAGGGTCAGTCAAGTTTATTTCTCTTACTTGTTACCTGTTGTTAGCTGGCTGACATGGTATATCCGTGTTCCCAGATTGCAGTGTGTCACGAGCTGTATAATACCGTCCGGGATTACAAGGATGACCATGGCAGATTGCTCTGTGAGCTCTTCATCAGAGTGCCTAAGAGAAGGTAGGAATTCTGCATTTACCTGTATTTGAAACATCAGGTATATAAATATACATGCCTAGGGAATGTATTTATGAATTTGCAAGAAGTGATATTCCACTGCTTTCTTGTGCAAAGGAACCAGCCAGACTACTATGAGGTTGTGACTCAGCCTATAGACATGATGAAGATCCAGCAGAAGCTGAAGATGGAGGAGTATGATGACGTTGAACAGCTCACCAGTGATTTTCAGCTGTTATTCAACAATGCCAAGGCTTATTACAAGGCATGTATCACACATTCACTTGAATGGTCAGCAAAGCTATTGTTGTATTTTGACTAAACAGGGAGGTCTCATGTGTCCTTTTCTCTGTAGGCTGATAGCCCAGAACTCAAGGCTGCCTACAAGCTGTGGAATTTGTACTTGCGCACAAAGAATGAATTTGTGCAGCGAGGTGGTTATGAGGATGATGATGAGGAAGGGGAGGATATCCAGGAAAATGCTGGGACCTCTACTGAAGAAGAGGTCAGGTGCTTTAGTGACGATTCTTTATGTGAAACATTTACAGGAGATCTCTTTATGGAAGAGCTTTTCTCCACAGGCAAATCCCTTTGAGACCTTTGAAAATCTAGATGATTTCAAGAAGTATTTTATCCTTATTTTCTTTTTACAAGTTAGTACCATAACCTAATTGTAGAAGGAAATGCAGTGCGACCTGCTGCATGTTGCTTGTAGTGAAATGTCTTCTGGAAAGTTCTGTCTAAGAGAGAGGAGGGCCTCTTTGCCTATGTATATCCAAATCAGACTCCGACCGGCTGCCTGAAGGAAGTCCTAGAACAGCTTTTGGAGGCAGTGATGACCTTTGCCGAACCCTCAGGGCACCTGGTCAGCGAGCTCTTCCAGAAACTTCCTTCAAAAGTGGTAAACTCAAATGCAGCATGTCTGTCTTGCTTGTTCAATAAGATTTAGAGTGTCAGCAGTGGTCAGATTCTGAATTTTTTCGTTTCAGCAATACCCAGACTATTATTCTGTAATTAAGGAGCCAATCGATCTGAGAACCATTGGGCAGAGGATACAGGTATGTTCTAACGTCATGTTGACTTTAAATTAATTGTTTATGATTCACATTGTTATAGGATTAATGGATTTCCCCTTGGAATTAATAAAGTATATCTTATCTGATCGATTGCATTGTTTGTTTGT